ACTACATAAAACTAAAAACTTAAACACCAATACCTTATGCTGTGTGAAGTATTGTGTTTGCACTACAACAGCCTCCTACAATTAAAGAGATTAATTCCTCCAAGGGGAAAAAAAGGCAAAGGACCCAAATAGGCAACTCACAAATGAAGAAAAAATGGTAAATAAACATATGAAAAGCGCTGAACCTCAACCTTAAAACTAAGCAAAGAAATCCAAATTCAAATGATAATATCACTGTTGAGGAATTGGGAGCGGGAGGTGGGGGGACAGGGGTTGGGAAGAGAGGCAGTGGGAAGTGCAGGTGGTAAGCCTCCTAGTGAGCCACAGCCAGCTCAGCAGGAATGCAGTTCTCAGAGGGTCCCCTATTCTTCACTTTAAAATTACATCCCCAAGAACAAGCACACAATACACAAGAACTTTATTGGGGGAGGGTGTCCCAAAGTTCACACAGGTATGCTACTTTTTTGGCCAAAAGGGGTATAAATAAGACCTCAAAAGACTATATAACTTCTATCTGTGTATATATTCACAAAGAAACTCTGGAAACATTCAAACTAGTGACAATGATTACCTGGATGGGAGGAGGATGAAGTGGTGGGAATTAGGCAGATTATAAAGAGAAACAGAGACTTAGCACTCTCTACATCAGTTTTGTTTGTAATTTTTGAACCATATAAACAGTATTATTTATTTTTAAAAATAATTGAAATCTTATGCTGTTTAATGAAAATAATGATAACTGGAATTGATTTTTTCCATACATACATTCCCAGATAGCGCGGTGGTTAGGTTTTGACTTTTCAGACAGAAACTGCCTGCATCTCACTCATCTTAGAGACCCCATGGCAGCGCTTCTGGAAAATTTCACTTTCTAAAAGGCAGTTTGGTAGCATGTATCAAAATGTAAAATGTAAAATTTTCATGCCCCTTAACCCAGCAATGGCATTTCTAAAAATTTATTCTAGAGGAATTACGAATAGGGTGAGAAGATGATTCTGCAGTATTATTTACTATAGGAGGAAACTATTACGATCCACTAGCGTGGCATAGCATATTGGTAAATTATGATCATCGCTACTGATGCTACTTGTTTGTGGACCACACCTGGAGTTACAAGAAGCTCCTTGTCCCACATTCTCAGCTTTGTGACTCCAAATCCCTGCTCCCCATTCATCAGCTACCTGGCTCTTGGATGCGCCACCCACCCACCGGCTCACCTAGTCAGTGTAGGGTTGCGGTGGTTGGAGTTGGCGCAGAAGATGTTGTTGGACTTGCGCGTGGCGTCCAGAAACTGGCACACCGCCTGGCCGCGGAGCTCCGCCAGGGGCCGGGCCTCGTGCTTGAGGAACCACTGATGCGCCTCGAAGCAGCTGGCACAGAGGAGTTGCTCGCACTCGAAACACCAGAAGTCTGCCGGCTCTTTGCAGCGGGTGCAAACGGCCTGCGCATCCACAATCTGCTGGTACACTGACAGGCGCCGCTGCAGACTCTCAAAGAAGATGTTATCGAGGATGGGTCCATCAGCGCCAGGAGGAAGGGACGCCTGGCAGATAGGGCACTGCATGTCCGGGGCCTGCAGGCATCCTGAACACAGTGTGTGCAGGCAAAGCAGCAGCTTAGGGCACTTGGCTTCTGCCTGACAGCCCTGGCAGCGCAGGAACTGGAACTCCTCCTCCGTAGTTTGCTGGGGGACCAGAGGAGAGGGATGAGACCTTAAGTCCCAGGAGTCACCACCCACCACCATCATAGGTCACCTGCCCCCATGGCTGGAGGCTGGAATGGGACTTCATATTTCATTCCAGGCAGTTACCGGATGATGAAAACCCAGGCTTACCAGTATTTCAACTTCCCATTTACTCAGGCCTTCCCACTCTAACTCCACAATATATTGAGCATCTACTTCCCATCAGACACAGTACCAGGTCCTGAGATACAAGGATAAATAGGATACCTCTATCCCTACTATCACTGAACTCAGTTTAGAAGAGATACATTAAGTATCAACCTTCTATAAAGTTTGATGGTTCCTCATAAAGGTAAACTACCTTTTTGAGGAACTACCATATGATTTGGCAATTCCACTCCTAGATTTATATCCAAAAGAACTGAAACCACTGACCCACACAGATACATATCTACCCACATTCTCAGGAGCACACTGTTCCCAACAGCCAAAGGTGGGAGCAACCCAAGTGTCCATTAAAGGGTAAACAAAATGGAGTACATACAACGAAATATTCTTCAGCCTTCCCATTTAAGGAAGGACATCATGCTAAGTGCACTAAGCCAGACATGGGACAAACGTACGATTCCACTTATATGAAATATCTAGAGCAGGCAAATTCTCGGAGACAAAGTAGATTAGAGATTACCAGGGGCTGGAGGAAGGGGAGAATAAAGAGCTATTGGTTAAAGGGTACAGAGTTTGTTTGGGTGATGAAAAAGTTCTGGAAATAGGTCTTGAGGGTTACACAACATTGTGAATGTACTTAATGCTACTAAATAGTATACTTAGAAAAGGCTAAAATGGCAAATCTTGTGTATATTTTACCACGATTTTTAAAAATGCAAAAAAAAAGTACTTAATACAGTGCATAGCACATGGTAAATGCTCATAGAGTTAACTAGTGATATTAAGCAATATTATTCCTAGTTGTACTTATGCAAATAATACAAATTACTACAACTGGTGTTATTTGTGCTTTTAAAAGGGCCTGGAAGAACATAGAGCAAGTGATCTAAGAAGCTCCTTTTGGGGGTGGGAGGCTGGGGGTTTGTTCAGGAGAAGACTAAGGGAAAACTTCCAGGTAGAAAACCTGCCTTGGGAAAGGGGGTTGGGCTGGCAAGGTGTTCCAGGAGAAGTATCTAGAAAACTTCCTGGAGAAGAAACCACAGGAGCTGCGAGGCGAGGCCTTAACTGATTCACCTCTCCCATTGGGAACTGGTACTTAGGTTTTGTTTTCCCCAATGTGAGAGCTTTCCGCCATCGCCCCCACCCACGGCCGCCACACACACACACACACACACACACACACACACACACACACACACACACACTCCACCACCCGCAAGAGGCATGCTCCAGGCGCAGGCAATTGGGCTATTACTCTGGGGCCTCCTCAGAGCGGGGGCAAAGAGGCATATCGCCAGCGCGGGTAGGAGAGTCCGGTCCGAGGTGCCGCTGTTCATTCAGTAGAGAATAGCAGCCAGAGAGGCTCCCTTAACTCCTCCTGGTGATCTTTTTTCATCTCTCCTCTCCTCTACTCCTTACTCGAGCCAAGAGGGTCTGTCTTTTCCTTCTGTGTACTTGACCACGTTCTCTCTCCCTTCTCACCTCTCCCCCTATCACAGCAAATTCACAAAGCCTAAACCCCATCTCCCCAAACCCAGTAGTACCTCTGTGGGGCTGTGGTCCGGGCTGGGCTGCTGGCTTTCGGAGGGAGACTCCGGGGGAGGCATGGTGGACATGTCGGGCAGTGCGGAGTCCTGTTGGGTCCCCGAAGATCTGGCGGGCGCAGGCTCCGGCTGCATGGAACCCAGTGCAGTTTCGATTCTCAGTTTTGATCTTGGGGGCGGGAGAAGCTTGAAGAGACTCACGCGCGAGAGCACTGAATTTCCGGAGCTATCCGAAAGGGGAGGAGCCGGTTCTGGGCGAGTCACTGGAAAGGAAGTGAAACAGTAACTGGGGGCGGTTCTAGAAGCGGAGAGGCCAAACTGTGGGTTTGGAAGACACGCCCATGGCGGGTTAGAGGGAGAGGGAGGACAGTAGAGCACAGCTGGCCTGGGGTAACAGCAAAGTGTCTGAGCTGACACGACGGGGGGCAGCCCCGCCCTGGGCTTTGGGCCATTCATCAGCCGACGTGGCACAGCTTTGTGCCAGCCCCCAGCTGGGAGCCTGGGGCATAGAGATGAGTGATGTGGCCCTTGCTTTGGAAGAATCCCAGATCTAGTGGAAGGACAGGCTCCAAAAAGATTTTCACACAGCATTGAGACTAGCTGGAAAGGAGGTTCCTCAGCTGGGACTTGGAACAGTGGGAATTTACCAGGGACTCAAATATTGGGAAGACACTTTAAATAGAGAGAACAGTGCGTGCAAAGGCATGAAGGTTTGAAACAGGATTTAAGAGGGGACCCATGAGCAATGTCAGCCCAGGAAGGACTGGGGCAAGATCATAGATAAGGAGATGGGTCAGTTTTGTGAACTGTAGAGTCAGTTTGGTACCTAGAAACAATGTGATTCACTGTGCATGGTAGGAAAGTCACTCTGACAACCTAGGGGCAGGTGGCCTGATCTAGGATAGTGGCTGTGGGATGCAAGGGGGACTTGAGTCAGAGACACTGGGAGGGCACTGAGTGCAGATGAGGAGAACAGGATGATGCCTTGGCTCACAGTTGGAAAGGCTGGTAAATTTTAGGCAGTGGGGGATGGGGGAAGCTGGTGACAGGGTATGAAGAGTGAGGAGACAGAGCAAGCTAGCTTTTGGCCAGCAGAGAAGTGTGCCAGACCCCCAGTTGGTGAGGGGAGAAAGTACAGCTCCAGGTAGCCTCCCTGAGCCAGTACCCTTGGCTCTAAACTTCAAACCATCCCAACCACTGTGTACCCATTCTATGCTGTTCCAGCTTGGAACAGACTAGGAGGGGTGGTGACAGGGCTTTGCTCTTGTAAAGGCTTATAGTCTGAAGGCATGTATGGAAGGGAAGGGGGAGAGGCTTCAGGAGCCTGCCCTACCTTCCAACCCCATCAGTGCCCCTAGGGTTTTAGAATCAGGCCATCAAACTAGGAAAAACCGAAGATGGTGAGCAGCTATCCGCAGAAGGGACCTGGAACTGGGCTATTGCTGAGGGGCTGAGGGGCATAAGGAGGCAACTAGCATGTGGCTGTGACAAGGAAAATTTTATTAATCTCTGTTCATTTTGGAAGACAGCTTGCCTCAATGCCCTATTAGAAGTTAATGCTTCTCAGAATAAACTCCCCATTTGCATTTGGGTTTTCTCAAACCATGAAGAGACAAGTTACCTCTGGGTAACTGGATCAAGAGATATGCTCTTTCTGGACCTAAGGACTGAGAATCTCACTTCTAGATGCTTTGGAGGGTCTGCCCCATCATAACTGTGTGCTAACTCCTCCTTCCTGAGGTCCGCACATGAAATTTTTCTGTTCTTGTGCCAAAGTTCAGGTTCTCCCGCTCCACTTTAACCACAGTGAGCTAGTCAACAAATAAGTACTGAGATCCACTCTGTGCCAGATCCTGCTTGTTGGGCTGTGGGTACACAAAGTGGAGTAATTTGCTAATTATGCCCTGGAGAAATGTTAATTCCAGATAAGCCTCCACTCCCTTCCCGGCATACACACCCCAGTATTTGAGTTTGGAGAGGGAATGGTACAATTTCCTTGATTCTGAATAAGATTCGGCTCCTGAAAAATCCATTTCAAAGCCAACGTCCCTCCTGATCCTTTTCCAAAGCCGAGGGGTAGCAAGCACGAGGAGGCAAGGACCACCTTTCCTCCCAGCCCCGCGTCCGCAGTTCGGTCCTCCTAGCGCAGGTGGCGATGTGCGACTCCCGAGAAGCCGGGAGGGGCGGGGCGGAGGCCGGCAGATCACTTCCGGCACTGGCTGTTTAGAACCCTGCTCCTCAGGTGTTGGTACCCGGCGCTGCCCTTGGGGGACGTGGACTGTTTCCCGCAGTCGGACTTCGGCTTCCTGGGCTCCCAGAGGGCCGCTTGTTCCGGGAGCGGGGCGGCGTGGGGCCGGGGGCTGATTAGTGGCCGTCCAGCGCAGAGGGACCCGGGGGACCCGGCCGGTATCCCCAGGCCCGAGCTCTGTGCCTGTCAGAAGTCGGCTGGTCTGGCGTAGTCGCTCCCAAAGAGGAGGGAGCGAGGGGAAACCCTACGTGGAGAGGGGTCTGTACCGGACGCTGGGATGCTGGCGCCGATCCACCCTTCTGGGGCTTAGGGGCTGCAGCTTTCAGTTCTCATCTTCCAAGGAGCCTCCCTCCGTCCGCCCCATACACCTCACTCCTCCTTGGCTCAGCCCGTTAGGCCTCGGCTGAGGTTTCAAGTTCCCATTTTGACGAGAAAGAAACCAAGGTCTAGGCATAGAAGATCATCTGCTCGCCAAGGGCACTTGGCTGCCAAGAAGTGGCAGAATCCCCTCTGCCCCCTCGCACCTCTAGATTCCCTGAGCTTGAGCACCTCTCTGTTTCCTGGTGGAGGGACACAGGCCAAAAAAGGCCCTCAGCTGCCTGTGTGTCAACTCTGGCCCTGTCTTGCTCCAAAGCCTTGAATCCCACATTTCAGATCTCACATTCCTCAGCCTGACAACCAAACACTGAAGGATTTGGTCCCTCCCTAACCTTCCTGTAATGACAGCTGCCCCATCCAAGGGTTCCTTTTCTGCAGGGGCCATGAGGTGAGCCTCATTTCCTAGTTCCTCTCTCCCCACCTCCCATCTGAAGCTCTTCAACTAAAGCATGTATTTGACGGCCCTTAGGGGGTAAAGAATTGTGAGCTAGGAAAGAACATCTTAGTCCTCATCTATGGCTCTTATTGATTGGTGAGCCGTTAATGCCTTATCTCTTTAGGCAAAAGGACTCCTTGAAAGCACACCTTTGGGGCTTATGATAGAGGAGGGATGGGTTATGCCAGCAGCATTCAGTTCAACCCAAACTGTGTTTTCAGATTGCCATCCACTCCTGGCTCTGTACCAAGTTAATATAAATTAGACAAGAAGATTGATTCCTGCTCAGCCCAATAAGGAGGGTATCACATGGTTTTGCTTCTCCGATCCAATGATCGTTGTCCAGCAGAGAAAGCCTTGTGAAGGCTGGACTTGGGAGAGATTAGTTTTGATGTGTGGGAAGAGGGAACAATCCTTAATTAGGACCTACCCAAAGATATGGGAGTATTAGGCAAGGAGGCAGACAGAGCTCTGAGAAGGAAGGGAGGTGGGCAAAAGGTACACTTGACCATGTTCACTGTGCCTGCAGCTGTCCGGCCAGCCAATTGGTGTTCCTTGACTGCCTTTGTGCTCTTGCCTCAGATGTATCCCACACCTGGTCTTCCTGCCTCTGCCACAGTCTCATCAGTTTCCTGGGGTTTTTGCTGCTGCTGGTCACCTTCCCCGTTTCTAGCTGGTTTGCCTGGAGAGCCCCAGGGTGGTTGGGTCATACTGAGCATTGATGGATGAACTTTTTGCCCTCTGTCTCCTTCCCTTAAGTATATTATCGCTTCTGTGAAATGGGCTGGGCCAGGACACATCTTTCAGTTGAGGAAACTGAGGCTCATATTTGTCCAAAGTCGTACAGGAACCAAACTCCCAAGTCCTGGTTCTGGACAATAGTGTTAAGGTGCATACTGACATCTTTGCCAAACCTTCCTGCCTTTGGATTAGGCTAAATTGGAACTGGAAAACACTAAAATTGGCCCCAGAGATAACAAGTGAAAGGAATTTAGGCCTTGTTTCCACAGGGGGTATCTGCAGATGGGAAAGGGATGAACTATAGTTGAGGATCACACCTGAAAGCCACAGTGAAGTGGAAGCCAAGCAGGCCTGGCTCTTTGTGCAGCCCTAGGCCATGGTCAACTTTTCTAGAAAGACTTTGAGTTTGGTGTAGTCTGGAAGGAAGCCCTTAGAAAGTCCTAAAACTGCCATTGAAACAAATACTGTGACCTTGGGCAAGTCACTTTGCCTCTCTGGGCCTTCATTTCTCAGTGTGGATATATTTACTTCTTTGAGGACTCCAGCACCTGAAGTTGGCAAAGCCCTTTGCTTAGGGTTGCTGGTGGAGCAGCCCAGAATTTGATCCTAACTAATTCAAGGACAGACAGTTTTCTGGTTTGAGTCACATCTGGCTTCAGACCACAGAAAAGAAAAGTTTCTCTGAGGATCAAGTTAATACAGTGTGGTAGTGGAGAGCATGGCTTCTGGAGTCATTCAGAGCTGCATTCAGATCTTGCCTATTTCAGTTGGGGACTGTGATTTTTGAGCAAGTCACTTAACCCCTCAGAGCCTTGGTTTTCTCATGTAAACACAGTTTAACGATACCTGACATTGCCCAGGGCAAGGGGGAGAGAGATGAGGGAGGGCCCTGGGCAGACATCAATGCCAATCTGGGCTTACCACACTCAGCCCTTCCTTTGCCATTGTGAGCAGATTGTGCCCACCTATGATCAGATGATCGTGTTTCTATTGGGCTGGATCCGTACCCCTCAAGAGCCTGGCATGGTTTTCCTCCTGCCTTCATTGACTTCTTTCAGAGGGTGGATCTGAGGACATGAGCTTTCAATGTCCCTCCCTGCAAGGTGAGGGGCTTCTTGGCTCTCCTGGACAGAGAGAATGGGGGCTGTGGAGAGTGTATCCTGGGTGCCAGTAACTTGGCCTATGAGGAGCCATCAGAGGTAGGAGGAGGGGATAGGGAGGAGAGCAGAAAATCGAGGCTAGAGGCTGGGAGCCCATTCTTGCTCCAAATACCTAACCCCATATACTTGAGGACACCATTTTGTCCATGAGGCTCTAGTGACCAGGTAGGTGGATCAAGCTGGGTGGTCTCAGTGGGCCTGATCTCCCTGCAGCTTCAGCCCCTTAAAAGTCTCCTCTTTCATACCCCCTGCCCCCAATCTAAGAATGGGGCGTGCTGTCTGTGGGGGCCAATGTCCAGTTTAGGGCTCCAGTATTGTCAGTGATGACTGTGAAGGACCTGAACACAGCCATAGCCCAGAGTGCCATGACCAAGGCCCTGCTCAAGAGGCCTCTGCAGGCAATCCAGATGGAAAAGCTCAAGATCAGCAACCAGCTCTTGGTAGGCAGCACTTCACAGGGCAGAATTCAGTGGCTGGCACCTGGGCCTCCCTTTGCCCATGGGACACTGAGCAAAGCAGCAGATCCCTTTAGGCATCAGTCTACCCTATGCATGAAGAGTGTGACAACCTTTGAAGAGCCAGTGGTATGGGTGGGACTATGAGTATGTATGTAGCACTTCATTATCTATTTGCCTATTAATGGACACTTAAGTTACTTCCATACTATAGCTATTGTAAATAATGCTGCGATGAACATAGATATGTATATAACAGTTTGAATTAGTGTGTTGGATTTCTTCAGACACCCAGAACTGGGATTGCTGGGTTATAGAGTAGTTCTATTTTTAGTTTTTTGAGGAATCTCCATACTGTTTTACATAGTGGCTATGTTATATAGGACAAGGGTCTCAAGGTCTGGGTGTTCTTACTAAATGCCGTTCTTGCTAAGTGTTAAAATGTAGCACAATATTTTGCAGAAGCAGCTGTACACAGAATGTGCTTGACAAGAACCCTACCATATTAAGTGTAGCCTACTGCAAACAAGAAATCAACATTTAATTAACCAAATCTATCTATAAAAAGGCTAAGTGGCCGACTGTCCAACTGACCAACCGACCGGCCGGTACATATGACACACACTGGCAATTTAGAAATAAATGTTGACTCGCGCATGCGCGATACATATAAAGCTCTCGCTGGCGCCAATTGCATGCGTATGTTTCCATCTGTCATTGTCGATTGTGAATTTGGCTGTTTTTGTTGAAATGATTTGTAATGGATCTATTATTGAAGCTACCTTGGGGACTAGTAAATCTATAGATACTATTAAAAACATATCTAAATACGTGATTCTTTGTCCCAAAAATGAGCATGTTCATAAATTAAATGAAGAAATTTTGGATACACTTGATGGAGATTTTCACACCTATTTGAGTGATGATTCCATCGATTCAATTGATGATGCCGAAAAGGAAAATTTCCCCAGTGAATTTCTTAATAGTATTACTCCTTGAGGAATGCCATGTCATAAATTAAAATTGAAAGTAGGTGCAATCATAATGTTATTGAGAAATATTAATAATAAATGCAGTCTTTGTAATGGTACTAGATTTATTATCAAAAGATTGCAACCTAACATAATCAAAGCTGAAGTATTAACAGGATCTGCGGAAAGAGAGGTTGTTCTGATTCCAAGGATTTGTCCCTGTCTGACACTGGCCTCCCATTTAAATTAATTCAAAGATAGTTTCCCATGATGCCAACATTTGCAATGAATTAATAAATCACAAGGACAAACTCTAGACATAGTATGAGTATTCCTACCGGACACATTTTCAGACATGGTCAGCTATATGCTGCTTTCTCTCTAGTTCAAAGAGCGTGTGACATTTAAGTTAAAGCTGTACTAGTAAATACTTCATCACAAGGGAAATTAGTCAAGCACTCTGAAAGTGTTTTTACTCTTTTTAAAATTTTATTTTATTAAATCTTTATTGTTCAGATTATTACATTTGTTCCTCTTCCCCCCCCCCCATAGCTCCCTTCCACCCAGTTCCCACCCCACCCTCTGCCCTTACCCCCCCACTCTCCTCATCCATAGGTGCACAATTTTTGTCCAGTCTCTTCCCGCATCTCCCACAGCCCTTTCCCCCCAAGAATAGTCAGTCCATTCCCCTTTCTATGTCCCTGATTCTATTATAATCACCAGTTCATCCTGTTCATCAGATTATTTATTCACTTGATTCTTAGATTCACTTGTTGATAGATGCATATTTGTTGTTCATAATTTGTATCTTTACCTTTTTCTTCCTCTTCCTCTTCTTAAAGAATATCCTTCAGTATTTCCTATAACCCTGGTTTGGTGGTGATGAACTCCTTTAGCTTTTCCTTATCTGTGAAGCTCTTTATCTGACCTTCCGTTCTGAATGATAGCTTTGCTGGATAAAGTAATCTTGGTTGTAGGTTCTTGGCATTCATCACTTTGAATATTTCTTGCCACTCTCTTCTGGCCTGCAAAGTTTCTGTTGAGAAATCAGCTGACAGTCGTGTGGGTATTCCCTTGTAGGTAACTGAGTCTCTTTCTCTTGATGCTTTTAAGATTCTCTCTTTGTCTTTTGCTCTTGGCATTTTAATTATGATGTGTCTTGGTGTGGTCCTCTTTGGATTCCTTTTGTTTGGGGTTCTCTGCGCTTCCTGGACTTGTAAGTCTATTTCTTTCACCAGGTGGGGGAAGTTTTCTGTCATTATTTCTTGAAATAGGTTTTCAATATCTTGCTCTCTCTCATCTTCTGGCACCCCTATAATTCTGATGTTGGTACGTTTGAAGCTGTCCCAGAGGCTCCTTACACTATCTTTGTATTTTCAGATTCTTTTTTCGTTTTGCTTTTCTGGTTGGGTGTTTTTTGCTTCTTCGCATTTCAAATCTTTGCCTTGATTCTTGAGCTCCTCTGGTCTGCTGTTGGGAGTCTGTATAATATTCATTATTTCAGTCTGTGTATGCTTAATTTCTAGTTGGTTCTTTATCATAACATCGAGGGTCTCATTAGATTTCTTGTAGATCTCAATAACTTTATCGGCAGCTTCTAGACAGTTCTTGAGAGACCTTAAAAGTGTGGTTCTGAACTCAATATCCTCCATTGACAGTTTTGTCCTGTTTCTTTGTCTCCGCATTTTTTATGCTTTCTTGGTGCACCCCCTAGTGGTCTTTGTGCGCAGTCTTGTTGTAGTTAAGCCTTGATTGTTGTAGTTAATACTAGGGGGATTTGACCTCCAGGCCAACTGGCTGTGAGAATCAGCTGTGTCTGCAGTGGGAAAACTTCTGTCCTCTAGGGAGGTGCTAACCTAGCATTTGCCTGAGGCTATCTGGCAAATGGCTCTGCACAGGGCTTGGGCGGGGCGGAGCGGATGGGATCAACAGACCGGGTGGAGGGAGCAGTTATGGCTGCTCTCAGTCCCGTCCCCAGAGGCTCTGCCTCTCAGAGTCCCAGCAACCACTGCAAACCTCGGAGAGAAAGCTGCCCTCGCGTTCTGACCAATGCCAGACAGTCCCGCTTCTCCCGTTTGAGTCTGGGTCCCTAGAGACTCGCCCAGAACTGGAGCTCAGAATCTGAGACTCCCTCCCGATTGAAACAGACAACCGTGCCCTCAGCTACCAGCCCACTCCGCGCGTACCTCCGCACCTTTGTATTTTCTGCACTGCGCCTCCTCTGAGTCTCGTATGCTGTTCTCTTTCCTTCTAGTTGAAGAATTTCCCCTCAGCCAGTCTTCCTGTGGTTCTGGGCGATGTCCGTTCCGTCTTTTAGTTGTATTTTTGAAGTGGTTGTTCGAAGCAGCTAACTCCAGTGTTTACCTATGCCGCCATCTTGGTTTCTCCTGAAAGTGTTTTTACTCTTAATGTTGTATACAGGGAGATATTAGAATAAGTTTAATCAATTTACCAGTCATTGTTTTTATCACTGTTGTTTTTGTTTTAATATAATTTTTTGTTTTTATATCATGCCTTTGTTCTTATATCATGTTGTTATTGTTTATTTATTGATCAGTTTATACATTATTTTCATATACTAGTACATTTTACTAATTTTCTTTCATCTCTGACACTTCTATTATAGACAAAGGGTAAATAGTGATATTATAATATTTCTTCTAATTAATTTTCTTTCAATGTGCACGAATCCATGTACCAGGCCACTAGAAGTATATATAATCAATGGCTAAACCTCTCATCGGGGAGATAGAGCTTTGGATGTGAATCTCCTGTCTCCTTTACTTGCTGTAAGTAAATAAAACTAAGGATAATCAATGCCCCCCAAGTGGTGAACTCCTTGAGTTAGGTAACAGGGGCACCAATCTGCATACCCAGCAACAGTGCACAGGGTTCCCTTTTCTGGACATCCTCATCAACTTGTTTGTTGATTTATTGATAATAGCCATTTTGACAGGTGATATCTTATTGTGGTTTTAATTTGAATTTCTTTATTAGTGACTTTGACCATCGTTTCATATATTTGTGTCTTCTTTGGAGAAATTATCTATTCAGGTCCTCTGCCCATTTTTTAATTGAATTGTTTTGTGTGTGTGTGTGTGTGTGTGTGTGTGTGTGTGTGTGTGTTTGGTGTCAAGTTGTATGTATGAGTTTCTTATGTATTTTGGGTATTAACCCCTTATTGTATGTATCACTGGCAAATATCTTCTCCCATTCAATAGGTTATCTTTTTGTTTTGTTCTAAGTATGTGAAACATGCCTTTGGTATTTTGATAAGAATTGCATTGAATCTCTAGATTATTTGGGGTAGTATAGACATTTTAACCATGTTAATTCTTCCTATCCATGATCACAGTATATGCTTCCATTTATTTATATCTTATTCAGTTTCTTTTTTCAATGTCATAGCACTCCAAGTACAGGTCTTTTACCTTCCTTGGTTAAATTTATTCCTAGGTATTTTATTCTTTCTGATGCAATTGTAAATGAGATTTTCTTTTTTAAATATATTTTTATTGATTTTCAGAGAGGAAGAGAGAGATAGGAACATCAATGGTGAGAGAGAATCACATAGGCTGCCTCCTGCATGCCCCCCACTGGAGATTGAGCCCACAACTCAGGCATGTGTCCTTGGCTGGAATCGAACCCGGGACCCTTCAGTCCACAGGCCAACGCTCTCTCCACTAAGCTAAACCAGTTAGGGCTAGGATTTTCTTAATTTCTCTTTTTGATAGTTTATTATTGGTGTATTAAAATGTAACCAATGCCTGAATATCAGTTTTGTATCCTGCAACTTTACTGAATTCACTTATTCTAATAGGTTATTTTTGGACGGGAGGAGGGGGAATCTTATATAGGTTCCCTATATAGTACCATTGTTATGGTAGGCAGCCATCAATCAGAGCCTGGCTGGCCACTTCAGAGAGACGGGCTAGGCCAGGGCTGTGTAAAGGACACTGCCATGGAAATCCAAGGGTGCCCTGCAGACTCCAGCCGATAGGGAGGTGGACTGAGAGCTATAGCATCTCTAGGCTTCCTGGTGGTGGATCCTGAAGCACTCTCCCCACTACATAGACAGGGAGCACCAAGAATCTCCCCCATTGGCTATGATGGCTCTGGGGGAGGTTCTTACTGAAAATTACCAAGCTGCCAAAAAGCTAGAAAGATGAATGAACAGGGCCCCAGTGCTGAAAGCTAGCAAGATAATTGGATAGAAAAAAGCCCTCCCCTCCCTATCCCTGTAAGAACTCTGGGCTTGAGCAGAAAGAGATGGTCTTTGAGACTGGAGTCCACCACTCTCCCAGGTTCTAGCACCTGGATAAAATCTCTTTCCTTTTGCACCAAGTTTGGCCTGTCTCACAAGTTTGGCTTTTGGGTGGAACCTGTGTTTTTTATTACATCTTATCATCTGCAAATAATGACAGTTTTACTTCTTCCTTTCCAATTTGGATGCCCTTCCTTCCTCCCTCCCTCCCTCCCTCCCTCCCTCCCTCCCTCCCTCCCTCCCTCCCTCCCTCCTTCCTTCCTTCCTTCCTTCCTTCCTTCCTTCCTTCCTTCCTTCCTTCTTGTCTGATTGTTGTGTTGACTTCCAATACCATATATATGTATGTATATAGATAGATAGATAAATAGATAGATATCCCTAATATGCAAATTGACCAAACGGCAGAACAACCGAACAACTGCACAACCGGTTGTTATGACGTGTGCTGACCACCAGGGGGCATGCATGGAACATGGCGGGTATTGGCAGCAGGCGGCAGAGCGCGGAACATGGCGGGTGTCAACCGCAGTGGAATGGTGGAGCAGGTGAGTGGGGACGCCAGACCAAGGCGGGGTGCGGGTCACTGTCATTAGGGTGAGCCTCTAGTGGTTACTGAAAATTCTTTGCTCCCACGTGCCACGGTCCCACCTGGCACTCACACCTGCAGATGGCACAGGCCCCGCTCATACCCACTGCCAGCACCAGCGCTGCCACTTGCACCTGCTGCCAGCACCTGGTGCTGGCTCCGATCGCTCAGCGCTGTCAGTGGCGGTGGCAGGAGCAGGGCTGCTGGCAGACAGGGGACCAGGGGGCCACAGCGGGAGGAACCAGGTGGGGGCATGGAGGTGGGCTGAGACCCACCCTGTGCCCGCCGCAGCCTCGCAGCCCACAGTTTCTTTCAAGGTGCACAAATTCATGTATTGGGCCCTTAGTCCTATATAATAAAAGGCTAATATGCAAATCGACCAAACGGCGGAATGACCAGTCACTATGACGTGCACTGGCCACCAGAGGGCAGATACTCAACACAGAAGCTGCCCCCAGGTGGTCAGTGCACTCCCACAGGGGGAGCACCACTCAGCCAGAAGCCAGGCTCACAGCTGGTGAGCGCAGCGGCAGTGGTGGGAGCCTCTCCTGCCTCTGTGACGGCACT